AAGCAAGCAAGCCTCATGTTAGTTTCAAGCTGCCTGGCTGCCGGCCGCCATCTTGGCTGTCAGTTAATTTGCATATCTCGCTGATTAGCCAATGGGAAGGGTAGCGGTCGTACGCCAATTACCATGTTTCTCTTTTATTAGTGTAGATAAAAGCCCAGCAACCATAATGGCGTAATGACCAGAACGACCGCTCGACCAGTCGCTATCAGGTGCATTGATGACCTCTTGATCTTTCCCCCGGCCCGCAGGCTCCAATCACAGGGTGGTAAATGGGGAACCACGGGGATCTGGGGTGGGTGGTGGCGGGGCGGGACTGGGGACTGGCAAGTGGGAAGAAGATGGCCCTGATTGCAGGCTAGGCCTAGGGACCCTACCCACGCAAGATTTCATGTGCTGGGCCTCTAGTAATGTAATAAAAACTTCTGTACAGGAACAGCTACATAATTTCCAAGACCACACGCAAAGTAAAGATATAGGGCCCTTTGTTCAAAAATGATTAAGAATGCCAAGACGGCCACAGTGGCATATTAAGCGAAGTGTGGGCCCTTTTAAGTGCAGGGACCCTGTGCAACTGCACAGGTCATAAGCCCATGAGGCTGGTCCTGTGCTTATGAAGATTATTGCCTCCAATCAATGGTGTATTTCTACATAAGTATTTAGTGGCAGTTTGATATAGATGTGTGCTTGAGACACCACTGTCCTTTTCTAAGGAAACTGCCTTTGTCCACAGTGGCTTAATAAAGGAAGTTGCCCTAACCTGTACCTTGTGCACTGGGCATCTGCTGATTAGACTAGAGTACACACCTGACTGGAGGGCAGTCAGTTCATAGGCAGGTGAGTAACTTGTAGGATGACCTGACAGGAAAAGCTCTGACCAGTGGAAGTTCAGTAATTAATTGGTAAACAGACTCTTTCTGGAATTTGAACTGAGAAATATGGAGAAGATCAGCCAGCCAGTTTGGGGCTTCAGGGTGTGGTATGAGTGGAAGTGGATAGGTAAAGAGAATCCACACATATTCCCTGTGTAACTCAACAGTGAACCCTCATGACTTGATGTAGCTAAGTAAAATTATTTCTGTTCTTTGCAACCCCAAGAACATAATTAACCCAAGGTTATGCTAGACTAGAGCATAGCTTTAGCCTATTAATGCTTAAGCCATCTAGGGAACGTGGCTTAAATACAATGAGAAGTATGAAAATAGAAAAATAGTTTCAAAACCTCGTTTTCTCCTTCAACTGCCAGCTACTGCACTGGGATCAGCTGGAGAGTAGCCCGTGCTGGCCAGGTGAGTGGTGATCTGAGCTCACTGAGTGCTGCCCTTCTGTCTTTCTTGCTTCTTGGCCAACTTTCTTATATATCCCTGGGACTGTTTTTTTTTTAAACTTCTCCTAAGTTATTTTTGACATCTTGTTCTACTTCCAGTGGAGTAGCCCTAGGAAAAATGTAGCTGTCAATTGTGCAAAAAGACACGTATTTTCTTGGTATATGTCTTTTTCCTTTCTGTTGGACTGTGCTAATGGGTCCCTGGAGTCTGCAGTAGGCTGAGGCAGGAGCTGCACTAAATGACCTCTCCAACCTTTGGCAGGTTAGCCATGCTAAGAAAAGGATTCCAATATAGTCATTTCCCAACCCCTAATTATAGAATGTCTATATAATTGTTTGATGCTTTTCCTGTTCCTTCACGGTTCAATAGAGGCGAGTTTGTTGGTCTTCAAATGCATACCCAACTAATTTGGTCAGGAATGTCACATAACTTAGCATTGACAGTAATTTGCTTTCTAGGATGCATTAAAATCTGTAGCGTGTGGGCACATTACTTATAATAGCACATGCTGCACATGAAGCATGTATAGAGCGGCACTTTGCAAATGGACCCTGATGCAATCACTCTGTAGCCTGCACACCCTGGATAAACATGACATAGACTCAGAGGGCTCATGTTCCTCATAGATGCCTCTCGACAGTGCAGGGTTTAGCTGTGTTAAGGGGTAGACTAGGAAAACCAGTCATCCAATTGGTGTTATTGTGGAGAAAGGGACATTTATGTTAATGCACTGCCTCCAAGGTTTTGCCCTGCAAAGGCTTCGGTCTGAGGGGCGGGGGGTGAAGGGGTGAGGTGGGGTTGGAAACAGGTGAACAGCCTAGAGTTCTATGTTCTTTTTTGCTTGGGCCATCAGCTGCACTTTGCCACACCCTGTGGGTATTTCGGAGAGCACTTGAACAGCAGTGCGGGACTGGCTTGAGCCTGTGGGCTGTCTGGGGTGATTGCTATGGGAATGTGAGCCATAGGTGGGTACCAGTTTTGTGTGTAGGAAAGGAAAAATGAACCTTGTAGTATTTCCAGGTCCAGATTTTGCTGTAAATTCCAGGAACCTAAGCCTTTCTGTGTCTGTATCTTCTCCTCGTAAATGGAAATGCTAAACATTGATGTTGCCCTTAACGCCGAGACATAACCCCCACGTACATTATTGCAATACTTTTTGCTTATATGAAATATTCCTAGGTTTTTGAAGATAAAAATTTAAGTCAGATTTTATCAGAAGAGTTAATATTGGGGAAAATATGGCTGGTTGAAAAGTAGTTCAGGAAGATCTATCTATCTGCCTATCTATCAATCAACATTAGAAAATTTATTAAGAGGCCACAGTGTTAACAGAAGGATGACATTTATTTAGGCATTTAAAGCATTGCCAGTAAAATGTCTCTCCAGAATCACAAACTCAACGCTGGTAATTGGAAGTGGGAGGGAAAGAACTCTTATGGATTAGAACCTGGTTATCCTGAGGAAATCCAGAGGGGAAATTAATAGCTTATTTCTGGGATGCAGAGGGATTAACGGCAGATTACTGCATTGCTCTCTACCAGAAGCAATTTGGTTTATTTTATCATTTCTATTTCCCATTTGGTTATGAGAACACTCCCAGCTTACATATTTCACAGCCCACACATAAGTTCTGAAAGCAGTGTCATTTAACTTACAGACCTGTCAGTGAACATTACCAATTTATACAGAGTCATGGTCTCTGCTGCAAATCCTCAAAGAGAACACAATAAATGGCATAAACAGAACCGGGGGCCAGTATCTCCTGTTCTGTGTGATACCGCCATGAATTGTAGTGGGTAAGTAACGCTACTCCCCACCTCCAGGTGACAGGGCCGTGATGGGCGCCCACAGAACCCGTTGGCTCTGGTGTGGACTAGGAGAAAGTATACAATTTGTGGATTAAATGAAATGTCAGTGAACAGTAGAGATTAGGCAAAATTGTGAGACATTCCAGAGTTCAGAAGGAGTGAGGGACTTGGGCAATAAGATGAAACATTCTCTTAAAAGTTTGCCACATTTTCATTTATCCTAGTTGTAAAGTATTCAAACAATTTAGAAAAATATAGAATAATCTAGATGCTCTATGCATGAAATTCATGCATAGAGCAAGGAGCTTGGCCCTCACAGCTGCGGTGGCTTGCCTCAGCCCTCGCAGCCCTGGCTTTGATGGAAGGTTGTCCGGAAGGACATCTGGAAGGTCGTTTGGCTGTCCGGGCTAATTAGTATATTACAGTTTTATTATTATAGAAGGTAAATATCTCATCTTCTCACCCTCCTGAATTTTCTTCCCTCCCCAGAAGTAACCATTATTTGGTGTTTTCAGAATATGCAGACTTTTTATGCCCAAGTATATGTTTGTACTCAAGTGTGTAGGTTTTTTAAAAAAGTAAATGGGATATTTTATATGTACACATTGTCTTGTCATTGAGCACTATGTCTTAGACCAACTGCATTCTTTAAAAAAATCTTTGTTGTTGTAAGTATTACATTTATCCCCTTTATTCCCCATTGACCCCTTCTAGCCCGCACCCACCCCACACCCCAAGCCTTGACCACACTATTGTTTGTGTCCATGGTTATGCATATATGCATACAAATTCTTTGATTGATCTCTTCCCATCCATCCACCTCTGCCTTCCCTCTGAGATTCACATTCTTTTTGTTTTTTAAAGATTTTTAAATTGATTTTTAGAGGGAGAGGAAAGGAGAGAAACACCGATGTGAGAGTGGAACATCAATCGGCTGCCTCCTGTGTGCTCCCTCACTGGGAACTGAGCCCCCACCTGGACATGTGCCCCTGACCGGGCATCTAACCAGCAACCCTTCCATGCAAGGGATTATGCCCAACCAACTGAGCCACATGCCCAGGGCCCAGCTGAATTCTTTTACATTATAATATGGCTCTCCTTTAGGTGGGCATTAGGCTTTTTTATGATAAACAATACTGCGGTGAATATCCTTGCTTATGCTTCTTTGTGCACAGGTACAAATATTTCTCTAGAATAGAGATTTACCAGTGGAACTTCTGGGTAGAACTATATGGATAGTTATATTGACAGATGTTGCCAAATTGCCTTCTTACCAGGGTATGAGAGTATCCATTTTCCCCATATCCTTTATAACTCTGGACACTATCAATCTTGTTAATATTTGCTAATGTTGTAGATGAAGGATGATTTAGTTGTTTTAATTTGTGTTTCCTTGATTGGTAAAGGTTGAGCATTTTTTCTATACTAATTGGCAATTTGCTCTTCTATAAAATGTTCTTGTCCATTGCACATTTTTTTTCCTGTTGTGTTGTTTGTTTTATTGACTATAGTCACTTCTTAGGTATCTTATGGATATAAATGGCATGGATTATATATATTTCCCATGTTTTATGTACTTTGACACTTGTCTTTTCCTATATCCATGGTGTCTTACTTTACCCAGAAGTTTATGTAGTTGAATCTGTCAGTACTTTCTTGTATGGTTTAATAATTTTATACCTGTTCCAAAGTTATAAAAACATTTCCCCTAAGACTCTGTAGCTTAAAAAATTATTTGGCCCTTTAATGACTCTGATATATAGTTTTGTGTAATGTAGGGAACCTTTCCTTTTATTTTTCTGAAACAAATTCTCATTCTAGACATTCCCACCACCTCCGATCCACCTCACATGTTTCTCTATGACATCTTGGATTTATGGATTCTTTGGATGTCTGTAGAGATATACCCTGAAATTATATGCAGAATTTTGTGTGATATATGAATAGCTGTGAAAGATTCTGGACATACTAGGGAGGTAAAATAGACTGGAATTATTTGTTGAGCTATTGAATATGGGGATTAGTGGGAAGAAGTCAGGGGTAATAGCCAGATTTTGGGTTTGGGTGATGGGTTGGTTGTTTGGTGGAGTCATTGCTGAACTAGGAGCTGTAGACTGAGTACCAGATTTTAAGGAAAAGCTGAGTTTTACTTTGTACATTTGCAATACTGCATATTGATACAGAGGCAGTAGGGAATATGATCACCCCAAGTGAGACTACAGACAGAGCAAAGATCTACAGAATACCAATGTTTCAGGTGTTTTTGGAGAAAAGGGACAGTTATAAGGTTGAGAAATAGAGATATGAGAAAAGTCAAGGGGAAATATCCCAATAGCCATGGGAGGAGAGTTTCAAGAAGGAAGGAGTGGTCAATAGGGTGAAATACTGAGAGAAATCAATTGAGATAAAGACAGAAAAGGTTCCACTGAGTAAGCAATCAAGATCATTGGTGACCTCTCAAGAGCACTTTCTGGGGAGCTATAGGAGTAGATGCTAGTGGGAGACAAGATGCTATAGGGAGGAATGGGGTTGGGAGAATAAATGGAAGGTGAGGTGATAAAGGTAGTAGGTGTAGCTAAGTCTTGCCCAAGGCTTTGCTGTGAAGGTTTGATGGTAGCTGAAAAAGGTATGTGGAAAAACTGCTATTTATTTTTCACATAGTGGAGTGACATTGTAAGGATACAAAGAGCTAATGAACTCAGTTGTCTGGCAGATATATTCTATTCTTAAAGGATTTGATAGTGAACTTAATAAAGATATTCTTTGACTTAAATATGGGATGTTAAAAAGTATTTAACAGCTGAATTAGCTTGGTCATTGACCAATCAAAATAGAAGCTACAACCTGTCACAGCAGATGCTGGCTATAAGTCATTGATAGGGCTGTACTAATGTCTAACAGTCCTGTTCCTATGGACTGTCTGGCTGTATGTATAGATGTTTTTCTGAGAAATACTTTGGTTAAAAGGACTGATTTTCAAGATTGGATTAGCAGAACTTCCAGGCCCCCAAAGAACCAGAACACAGAGGTTATAACTAGCATTGCAATATGTATTCACACTCATCTGCTAGGTTTGATTGAAGGCGACATTTGTAATCAAGAGCCTTGGGGGCAAAAAGGACAGAAAAGTGAACAGGAACACTGAAAAATTGTGTTTTTCTCCCCCTAAAAACTAAAATTAACAGTATGTGACAAGTTGTGGAGAAACAACAAAATGAAGGTAACACATTCCAAGTAAGAGCTGTAAGGGCAAGAACGATTTTCATTTCAAATTGTAATTTTACTTTGAGCTGTAAGGTTAGGAACAAAATGGATTTTTCTAATAGCAGAGCACATGTGATAGGAAATTTTCTGTTTCCACTGATGTTCCCTCAGTGATCAGTGCTAGTATTGGAATGAAGATGATAGGAACTAGTATTTTCTTGTATGTGTACTCTGTGTTTTTATGATAGTATGGGGGTCCAGGGGGCAGAGAGAGGCCTACAACTTAAACTATATGCACTTTATCATTTTAGCTCTACTCCTCATTTTTCCCCCCGGTTGGTAAATGTACAATCTTACATCATCCCAGGAAATAATTTTTCCAAATAAAAACTGAAGCTTATTTTTTTCTTTGACAAATGTCACATAGATAAACCTCTCACCATAATTGGCTCTCTTTCAGAGGTTTTCATGTGGAATATTTATAGTGAAATGTAAGTGTGTCTGGTATATAAACAGAGTTAATCACAGCTATTATACTCACTTTTACACTTCTCAGAGATTGCTTGGAATGTCACATCTCGATAAGCTTTAAGAAAAGTTGAAATTTAAAAGTTCGTTTTTAAAAGAAGGCAGAAAAAAATGAGAGTTCTGAGGGGCGGATAAAATAGTTAATGTTCTTTTGGTAGGTAGAGTCAATAATATAACCTTTTTGAGTAAAGAGAAAGAAAAACTATGTTTGTTTACCTGAATTTTATGTCTGTTATCATTGTTTCTTGGGCGAGGTTTTGTTGTGTGTTGCAGTTGACAAGATAAAATAAATCAGGAACAGGCTCGATTGCTGCCATCTCTTAGATAGGCTAGAAAAATGTTCCTACCAAGGAAGTATAAGAAAAGGAAGAAATATCCAGAATCAATATTTTGTCTGTAGATATAATACTGTTATTTGACAACGTTTCTAATTCTTTTTTTCCAGGTCACTCCAATTTGAGGGGGTAGGTTTGAAAAAACAAGGTAAAGGTGATGATCACACATAGTTTTAACCTTGAGAACTTACCAGGTGGAATCAATAGGACCTCAATCTTTTCCTCCCTCTTCCACTTCCCAAGCTCTTCCTTTCTTTGGCGTGGTCCTGGTTAATGCACTTATTCGCTATGGAAACTGTCAACCTCTCAAACATCTGCTCTGCTATTGCTGTTTGGGTGTTGGCTGCCCTCCATTGGGAGTTCCTGCCCACCACCTTGATGACCTTGTTGTGTCTGTCTCCGGATGGTGCTCATGCTGTTCCTTCACCAGTGTTACAGTTCCTCAAGTGAAGAACTTCCTAAAGAATAGTCTGGTATTTCTGTCCTTCTAAACTCTTTGTTTTAAGGAGATACAGACAATCAATCCCAAGGATGGGTTGAAGATATTTGAATGGCATCACACAATGCTACAACATTTTGCCTTTCTCAGCACCAAAACCAGTGTCCCAGAAAGGCATCCAAGGTTTTCTATCTATCCAGGCATAGTTCTCTTAGAGATGGGGGTGGGAGGCCGAATTTTAGAGACTCTGCCAATTGGTCCTCTTGGCCAGGAAACTCATAAATTCCTCTTGTACAAAAGATACCTTGAGAATTGATTCTGTTCTGATGTTGCTCAGGAAATGGTCATGCAAATTAAATTCTACTTCTGAAGACCTATTGAAGCATTAAAAAAAGAAAAATTCTTCCACAAATGTGCTGACCTGATATTTCACTTAAATACCTAGAGTCTTAATTAAAACAATTTTTTTTTTTAGCCATTTTCTAAAGTAATTCTCTAGGGTTACCAATAGCTCTATTTTCTGCAAATGATAATGAGGTCATGGAATTAGACTTTATGGGAAGCCTGGCCATATCTCTAGTCCTAGCACAATCTCTCCTTCATCCTAACCTTTGCATCACCAGAATTTGCATTAAGCAAAAAGTCCTAGCTGTGTAAGTTGCTTTTCATCATGTATAAATTGCTTGCCTTTCTCAGTCAGGAGCATTTACGGAGTGTCCACATGGCTGCAACCAGTACCATAAGAAATCACTAGCCTCTGCTCTTAAAATCCTTGTAATCCTTTGAGTAAGACATGGGTCCAAAGTTTGGCTCCAACCAGGCATTGGCTGTGCATCTTTAGGCAAATTTCTTAACTTTTTTGCATCTTAGTTTCCTCTTTTGTGAAAGAGGAGTGATAATGTAATACCTACCTTACGTAGGTTTGTCTTGATGATTAAATGAAAAAAAAAAAAAGTTCAGCACAGAGCCTGGAACACATTAAGTGCCTAGAACATGATAGCCTTCATATTAAGTGGCATATTGGCTTCTTCTTGGGATCTGCTTGTCCCGAGGAAGGCCCAAAGACAGAAATAACTACAGAGATATTGACCATATAGAGTATGCCAAAGGAGAGGGGTATTTTTCTTCTATTGAGAGCCACCGACCCATGATAGAAAAGGATCAATGGAAGGCTTTGTAAAAAACCAACACCAAACTAATTTGCTTCCCCCCCTCAGGGAAATAAAAAATACTGAATTTACCTACTTTTAAGAACAAGGAACATAGCACTTTACTCAATAACTCAATAAATAACCTGAATAGATTTCTAGAACTTTAAGGGACCTCAGAGACTATCCAGTATAATCTCTTTATTTACTAGATGAGACAACTGAGGACCAGAAGTAAAAATTTACTTCATCATAATTACCTACCTTCACCATGACAGACCAAAGGAATAAATCCTTTACTTCTAAAGGCCTAGTATCTTCCCACTACATTATGTTTAGTAAAACAATAGGGAGAGAAATAGAGAAAGAGAAAATTAAGAGGAGGGAGAGAAACGGAAAAGAGTTAGAAAAAGGGAGGGAGATACATATAGAAAGAAGAAAGTACAGAGAATGAGAAAAGGAAGAAACAAGGTAGTCATTTCCAACAACAATATGGTTTCATTGAATGTACATCATGTTAAGTTAACTTTCTTTTCTTTTTCAGCAAAATCTGTCATTCTGAATGAATGACAGAACCTCATCACCAGTAAGGAATCGATGGCATAATCCAGATGAGAAATGTTAATAACTTGGACTAGAGTGGCAGCAATAGAGATTGAATTTGGGATATAGGCCACAAAGATATATTGCTGGGAGGTAAGTGAATGGAAGGATAGAGGGTAAATTCAAAGTTTTTGACTTGAGTAATTAGGTGGATGGTGATAACCATTTACTGAGATGGGGTAAACCTTTGGACAAGCTTATACCTGATTGCTCTGGAAAAATTCTGAGTATACAGTTGGATATTTGAGGTGGGAGCTTAGGAAAGAGCAAGGCTGAAGATATAAATTTAGGAGTTTTCAGTATAAAGAGATTATGGGACTAGATGAGATTACCTAGAGATGGAATGAAAATAGAAAGGATAAGAATGCTGAGGTCTGAGTCTAGAGTACTCTATTTTCAGAAAGCAGGAGAGGAGAGGGTGCCAGCAAATGAGACCCAGAGTTATTAGTGAGGGAAATGCTGAAGATATGGGTTATTCAACTTTTAGTTAGTAATGTAATAGATTCATTTATACACAAAGAATGGAGCCCTGACCGGTTTGGCTCAGTGGATAAAGCATCGGCCTGCGGACTCAAGGGTCCCTGGTTCGATTCCAGTCAAGGGCATGTACCTTGGTTGCGGGCACATCCCAGTGGGGAGTGTGCAGGAGGCAGCTGATCGATGTTTCTCTCTCATCGATGTTTCTAACTCCTATCCCTCTCCCTTCCTCTCTGTAAAAAAATCAATAAAATATATTAAAAAAAAAGAATGGAATATGGAAGAATGTGGGCTGGATAGTAGTACAGTTAGGACTGTGTGTACCAAAGTAGTGACACGCAACAGATTAATGGCAACTTGAAGAGAAGCTGTGGTCTTACCTCAGGGCTTGCCCCGTCTCATGAACCTAATTGAAAAACCTCTTGAGTAGCCTGGCTTGTGTGGCTCAGTGGTTGAGCGTCAAGCTATGAACCTGGAGGTCACAGTTCCATTGCCAGTCAGGGCACATGCCTGGGTTTTGGGCTCGATATCCAGCAGGGGGCGTGCAGGAGGCAGCCAATCAGTGATTCTCATCATTGATGTTTCTACCTCTCCTCCCTTTCTCTCTGAAATCAATAAAAATATATTTTAAAACAAAAACAAAAACCCCCACCTCTCGAGTAGAAATAATTTGGGTCGGATTTGCAATAATAAGAGCTGGAGAGAGAGTTGCCACATTAGATTGGTTAGTAGGCCTTGGCAGACATGAAAAGCCATAGTGGATACTGTGTCTTTGTGCTAAACCAAGTGTGGGTGATGAGGACCTGGCTGCGGGAGGAGAGAATTGGATTCTTGAGACATTTGACAAGGAAGAGTTGGCAGTATTTTCTGACTGACTGGACATAGGTGATGAAAGAGAGGAAACAGGCCCAACTGATTGAAGGGTACTATAATTAGTGTATGTTTTTAGTGTAGGAAGGAAGAATAATTAAACAAGAAACATGAGCTAGTAACTTATTCTTTAACAGAACTGTTAATAACTCTGAGAGTTTGAACTTATATGGTTGGTTCTGTATATTGAAGGGATAATATAAAAATTTAGTAAAATAATTACAGCAAATTGGCTCTCCCAACCATAAAGATGTCTAATTAACCAATTAATGTGTTTCTGTTAGCATAAAAACTGATAACAAAAGCCAAATGGTATAATAGGATCAGTTTAGACTTTTTGATGGTCTGCCAGTTGAATATTGATAAGACTGATTTATTTATGAGGTTGCCAATAATTTGAATTGCTCTGTGAGGGCTTGCATTATTTTACAGAACCGTTCTTTCCTGCTTAACTACATGACATTAATCTGACCCTTCTGAAAGCAGTGACTTCTGTCCAACTAGAGATTTCTGTCCTGTATTGAGGATGCTCTTAGTAGTTGGAAAGTGTGAGTGCCCTGGCGGAAAGGCTTGCTAGCTTTCTTCATACCTCAGAGACTTTTCTAGGCTCCTGGATAGTGCTCACAAAGTGGGAGGAGGCATGTTCAGTTTTAAGGGAAAAGCCCTTCCAAGCACTTATTTATATAAGCACTCATTTACATATAACTGTTCTACCCTAGTTTGAACTCAAGTATGTCCTTGAAAAGAAAGAATATTATTGTTTTAAAAACTCTCAATTTTTGACTTTTCCAGGACTCCCTATAAAATTAGATCAAGTTCATAAGATTTGCTATATATGTCATTTTGCGCACTTTATGCCTGATTTACTTATATAAGAACATCAGCCACTTAAACGGAGAGAAGAGCTTCTACCTCCCCTTGTCAAGTTCTGAACAGATGACATATATTTAGATTAGTTCTATAAGTATTAGGAGAGTAGGAATTTAGCACTGGAATGGAAATGAGATATTATCAGATAAAGGAACAGAAGTATTATTTGGCCACGTTCATATACCTGACGATAGAGATGCTGTGTTCTCACTGCCTCCTGTCAGGTGGCACCTGCTTTTGATTTGTCCCATTACTGGTGATGTTAACTTTGATTGTTTGATAAAGGGGGTATGTCTATCAGTTTTTTCCACTATAAAGTTATTTACTTTCCTTTTGTAATTAATAAGCATTTTGTGAGAAAGTACTTGGAGACTGTATGTATTTCTCTTCTCATCAAACTTTACCAACTATTATCCCTTGATGTTTCTTGACTAGATTCATTATTACTATGATGGTTACCAAATGGTTGTTTTCTAATTCTATCATTCATTCTACAAAGATGAGTTGGTATTTTATTGAAAGGAAAATTTTTTCTTTCCCTATTCTTTCATATTTAGAAACACACATATGTTTGCATATATGGATTTCTTTTTAATTCAATGGTCTATAGTCTATTTCTATTACTATTCTGTCTTTGGGCCTTCAATGGTCTATAGTCTATTTCTGTTACATTTACTATGATGTTCAAATTCCCCCAGATGGGCCAGTGGGGAGTGCTTCAAACTGGTTTCTGTTTTCTTTTGACATGCCTCCATCATTTTATTTTTCTCATTTAATTTTTTAATTATGGCAAAATACATGAAACATAAAATTTACCATTGTAATCATTTCTTTAAAATATTTTATTGATTTTTTACAGAGAGGAAGGGAGAGAGATAGAGAGGAAGAAACATCGATGAGAGAGAAACATCGATCAGCTGCCTCCTGCACATCTCCTACTGGGGATGTGCCCGCAACCAAGGTACATGCCCTTGACCGGAATCGAACCTGGGACCCCCCAGTCCACAGGCTGACACTCTATCCACTGAGCAAAACCGGTTTCGGCCTATTGTAATCATTTTTAAAGTGTGCCACTCAGTGGCATTAAGCACATTCATGATATTGTGCAACTGTCACCAATATCTTGGTCCAGAAATTTTTCATCACCTCAAATGAAAACCCTGTGTTCATTTAGCATTAGTTCCCCATTCCCCCACCCTTTTAGCCTCTGGCAATCAAAAATCTGCTTTCTGACTCAATGGATTTAGCTCCTCTAGATATCTATAATAATAAAAGCAAAATAAGCTAATCAGACTGGACATCCTTCCAGTAGACCTTCCGGATGAAGCCGGGGCTGCGAGGGAAGTCTGGGTCCCAGATGCTGGAGGGAAGCCAGTGCTGGCAGCTGGGGGAAGGAAGGCCTACTCTTGCACGAATTTTGTGCATTGGGCCTCTAGTTTCATATAAATGGAATCATACAATATGAGGTCTTTTATGTCTGCCTTCTTTAGCTTAGTGTAATATCTTCAAGATTTATCTATGTTGTAGCATGTATCAGTACTTCATTATTTATGGTTGAATAATATTTCATTTATAGTTAGGTCTTTGATCCATTATCAGTTAAAATTTTTAATGTATGGTGTTGGGGGGGGGGGTCCAACATCATTTTTTTTTGCATGCAGATGTCTAGTTCTCTTAGCACCATTTGTTGAAGGGACTGTTTTCCTCCCCCTTCCATTATTTTTAAGGTGCTTTTCTAAGGCATTGAGTTTTATTCAAATTCTTTGGTTTTATATTTGCATTTATTTTTCCTCACATGGAAAGCCTGTTTTTCATTTATATTGATGTGCTTATTTCCAAAATACTATACTTACGCTTTTAAGTAAAATATATAGACAAAGGTTAAGATTACTTTGCAGATAGTTTGCACCATATTTTGGTTGTTATTTTTTGACAAATAAAAATATATATTTAAGGTGTACAATGTTATGATTTGATATATATATACATTGTGAGATTACCCAAATCAAGTTAATTAAGATATCTATCACTTCACATAGTTACCTTTTCTTTTTTTTGGTGAGAACACAAGATTTACTCTCTTAGCGAATTTCAAGTATACAATACAGTGCTATTAACTATAGGCATCATATTGCAATTAGATAATCAGAACTTTTTCTTCTTTTACTGAAAGTTTGTACCCTTTGATCTATATATTTGCTCATTTCCTTTACCCCCTGGCCCCTGGCAAACACCATTCTTCTCTGTTTCTGGATTTTTTAAGATTCCACATATAAGTGAGACCATACTATTTATCTTTCTCTGTCTGGCTTATTTCATTTAGCATAATGTCCTCAAGGCTTATCCGTGTGGTCTCAAATAACAGGATTTTCTTCTTTTCCATGGCTGAATAGCTTTCATTTTATAGTTTCTTTATCCATTCACCTGTCAGTGGACATTTAGGTTGTTTCTATGTCTTGTGAATGGTGTTGCAATGAACATGGGAATATAAATCTCTCTTTGAGATTGTGATTTCATTTCCTTTGGATATATACCCAGAAGTGGAATTGCTGGATCATATGGTAGTTGTATTTTTAACTCTTTGAGGAACCTCTTATTAGTAGCTCTACCAATTTACATTTCCATGAACACGATCACTTAATTTCTAGACTAACACAGTATTTTATGAAGGCTTTATGCACAAGCCCTGGGAGTAGCCATTTCTCCAAGAAGTCCTGGTTCCTTTTAGTGAAGAATGGTATTCAGAAAACAAGATTTGGCACTATGTGTGCTCATTGCTTTTAGGGTGTTGATGCTCAGAGACCCTCTCATTGGACAGTGCTATGTACACATATACCTACACACACACTGAAAACCACGACTTAACATCAATAC